CCCATGTAAGCTTCACCCCGCCTGCATTTTGCAAATAGTCCATCAATGGTTTCCATTCTTTAAGGTAATAATTATTTGAGTTTTCTGACATATGATTTTTATTCTGATAGTTCAATTTGTAAACCAATAAGACTTAAAAAATAAGGCTCTGAATATAGGTGATGAAAAGGATTTTTCATAAGCAATTTCTCCTCTCTTCCCATGGAACATCAGGAACTCCTGTAACCTGAAAACTGGGCGGCCAGTCTGCTTGCACATCCTCTGGCTACATAATACTTTATCATCCTGTGTTCATTTATGGGATAGAGATCCCTCTTATATACATCTTGGGGGAAGGGACTGCCTTTTCTATACATTCTCTATAAAGCACTATATATACTGATGCACTGATAAAATAAAAAGTAATTAATGATTCACAATAAAGAAGATGATGAATTTTTAACTCCTCCCCTCTCTTTCAGCCTTCCAGCATATCTGCAGTCATAGCTTACCTTTCCCACAAGCTGCCTTTAAAAAAAAATCACAGACAGCAGCACCCGACTCTGTGAAGAAAGATGCACAATGAAGGTCTCGTTACCCCAGTTACAGTTTAAGCAATTTTTTTAATGATCAGTTACACTATCAAACTGCAGACAAATACAGACAGATGTTCATGGCTAAACATGTTTTAAGAGCCATTTTCTAAAAGCTCAAAACACTTCTAGATATTTCTGTGCCCTTAACGACTATGTAACAAACTGAAATCCAAAAAAGGTTTTCCCAGATTTTTTTTTCTTTTTAAATAAGTCTGTGTGGACCACGAACACAGGCCAATCATAATACATTTACAGTTTCTCTGAAGAATTGTATTATTCTTCAACCAAAAGCATCATAGAATAATTTCCTCTTTATTGAAATATCTAACAAACCTGGGGATGCATTTTCAACCCTTTATTAAGAAGGCATATATAGGTATATGCCCAGGGAGCATCACATCCTGTAGAAGACAATACTCTGTCCTTTTAAAGGGTACGCTGGGTGTTGGGGGGGAGGGAATGGCAGTGGGAAGAATCATTTTAGCTTACAACTGTCAAAATCCTTTGGTTCTGGCTGCTTGCTGAGACTTCTGGGGGTTAAAATCCCAAACATCTGGAGGGCACCCAAAGGTTGCCTCTCCCTGCATTGTCTTCTACCTGGAAGTCCCACTGACCTCAACAACTGCGTTCACACAGCATGCCAGAGCAGGTCCCCGAATGATCCCAGGTCCGGAGTTCACCCAATACAAAGAACCATGAACCATTTAGATTTAGACAACCCACTTAGCCACTCCCCAAACCCCTAACCAAGCTATGCAGATGCAGCTGACCTGGTTAAGCATGTTGCATGAATGCAGCCAGTGAGGCATTATTTCAGGAAAAGATTATTATTGTTATATTTTTACCTTGCCTTTTTTTACATAAAGGCAGTGAACACACCTAAGACTTTTGCCTCCTATTTTTCCCACAACTCCGTGAGGTGGGTTGGGCTGAGAGATAGGGACTGGCCCAAAGTCACCCAGCCGGCTGGGGATGTCATGGCTTAATTTATGCCTTTATACAAAGGAAAGGGAATTCCCGACAGAAACCCATTCCTGCTCAATCTCTGTTTGTGCTTCTTCCTCCTCCCTCCTCCTCCCTCCTCCCTCTAGTGTCACGTCTTTCAGGCTGTCCAGGCCAGGGGATGAACGGGCACGGTCCTCCAACCAATTTGGGTGGGAGAAAGTTTAGGGATCCTAAACCGTCTTGGACTCTGACGAGCTGGAAGGCCTCTGGCCAGGCTCTCGCGTCCCCGGACTCCCTCACGTACTGTCCATGCCCGGGAAGGGCAGCGGCTGCGCCCCCAGCTGCTGCTCCACCGCGATCTCCAAGTCGAACTTGATGTGGTCCACGCTGGCGATCAGCTCCTGCATGGCGGCGGTGGGGAGAGGCCGACTAAGTGGGGTGAAAGAGCCGGGACCTCCGCGCGAGGCGCCTCAACTCAGCCGGGAGCAGCCCTGAGGGAAAACTGGCCGAAGCGCGGGGGGAGGAGGAGGAGGAGGAGGAGGAGGAGGAGGCGCGCGCCACCGGCTGGACCAATCGGAACGCCGCCCCGCGCCCGAGGCACGCTGGGACTCGTGCCTCGTCGTCCCCCGCGCTGAGCCAATGGGGGAGCGGCTCCGAGCCCGTGAGGAAGAGGCCCGGAGGCGGACTTTTCCTGCCCCCTCCAGCCAATCAAAAGGAGGTCTGTTCTGATTGGGCAATAGGGAGGGAAAGGGGATGGACTGACCTATCCACGCACACGCCCGTGGAGGGCGAGGGGTGCGACGTCCCGCCCCTGAGGAGAAGTACCGCCCTCTAGTGGGCGTGGAGAACGAGAGGAGAGGGCCGCGCGGACCGAGCCGGTGAGGGTGGCTGGGGAGAGGCTGGCCGCCTTCCAGAGGGGATCTCAAACTCGCTCGACCATTATTTCATCTATTTATTAATCCGCTCCGCCTTTCCTTCAGGAGGTCACACATAGCACTCCTCCCTCCCATTTCCCCCCTCAACAACAACCCTGCAGGGTAGGCTGCCACGATAAAGAGAGAAAGAGAGAGAAGGCGCGAGGGACAGGCCCAAAGCCTCCCAGGTTGCTTCTGGACTGAGGACGGACTTGAGCCTGGCTTTCAATGCCTTTCCCACCAGGGTCAGAGGAGGCCTGATAAAAACCTGATAAAAATGTTTTAATTTAAACATTAATTTAATGTATTTTTTTTTCATTTGCAGGATGGCTCACACAATAAAAATATTTCCATGCTGCTTTGGATGATTCTCCCAGGAAAGCAGGTGACACTGTTTTGAACTGCAATCCTAATTCCTTGGATCTGGACTCCAGGATACAGCTCCCTCGTCCAGTGATGAGAGAAAGAAAGGCGAGATCAGCATGATTCCTCAGCGGGTGTGCCGTCACTTTTCTGCAGCATTTACCCAAAGAGGTTCTGCCTGTCCTTGGCTTTGTTCCGTACACAGTTTAAGAGCCGTTCCTGGAAAAAAACTGATATGGCCCCAAAGCCCACAATCCACAGGTTTTCTGGACCGGAGGCTTATTACCACATCCCTGGCCGTCTACAAGTTGCACAACCGAGATTTGAAAGAGATGGGCAGCTCGTCAGAAGTGCTTCCTAAAGAAGAGGAGGAAGAGGAGAAATTTGATGCTGATGAAAACTTTGGGCTGTTGACTCAGAAATATTCTTCCAGGCGCTTTTTTCGTGCAACTTCGGCTGATTTTCACAACTTACAGCTTCAAACTGAAGATGAGGATGAGGAGGAGCCAGAAATAAAACCGAGACAAGGTCGAAGGAATACCCCGTACTGGTATTTTTTGCAGTGCAAGGCATTGATAAAGGAAAATAAGGTCATTTCCTTGGCTATGTTTTTCTTTCCTTTTTTAAGAGATGGGGTGTAGAGGGCATAGAGAATGGCCTTGGAGGACAGGGGGAAGATCTGTTCCCAAGGCAACAATCAGGCATTGGTTTCTTAGTCTAGTCTACCCTATAGGGTGAATGAGGATTGAGAACCTACTTGCAGGAGGGAGGAAAAAATCAGTGCCTTAAATCTCCAGTTAAAAATAGGTAGCAGAAAATATATTTTCTGGAAATTCTAGAGAAGGCTGTTGGCTTCTCTTCACTTGAGAGTCTGTTAGATGCATCGGATTATAACTGCCTTGATCTCTCGTCAGCAAGGTCAGCAACCCTCCTGTATGCAAATTGTGACTTGTACGTTAGTACGGCACAGAGTTCAAAAAGGTAAAATAGAGAGGGATCTCCTTATGCTATCTAACACAGTCATCTCTAATCTTTTCAAACCTGGAATCTACCTTTAGCCCATCCATGCACTGGAGGACTTGCTTCTTAATTTTTATTCCTGTATTTCTGTGGTGATAATGGGAACGTTTCAGTTCAACTTTGGTTGGCCAGGAGTCCATACAGTGGTTCCGAGCCACCAGCTAAAGACCCAGGATGTGATGGTTCAGCCATTTTACACAATAATTGAAAGATTGCATGTGTGTACATGGTTGCTTCCAGGTCTTAAAAAGTTAATAGGAGAGATGGTGGGGAGGCTGGGAAAGAAATGGAAGGGAGAATAAAGGAAATGATCAAAAGATTGAAGGCCAATCCATTGGTAGCTTATCTGATCAGTGGTAGTTAAGCCTAGGTAGTGAGAAGAAACATTTCAAGTCGTTCAGAGAGACTCTGGCTTAATGAATTCACTACATGTACCCTGGATTTGCATTACTGCAGTCTGTGTAGTTTTGACTTCCTTGAACTTGTCCACCTTTGTGGGGCTCCACAGTTAACCCTCTTCCTAACTGTCTCCTCTGTAGCTGGCAGAGGCCCTAGATCTGTTTGAGGTACAAATGCTGAAGGAAAAACGTCTCTGGCCAGAGGAGCGCAACTACACCGTGCTGATTGGTGGATGCGGCAGGGTTGGCTACCTGAAGAAGGCCTTCAGGCTTTACAATGATGTAAATACCGCAAGCTAAATTTCTTTCAAAGGGAATTTCTGTGGGATGGGGGGTTGGTTTAAATGAATAAGAACAAATGGCAGGTTTAAATCAGCGATTGGATGGATCCAGTCCAATTGGAAACCTAATTGATTTTGATTTCCCACTGATGCTTCCTCATATATGTCCTAAATAACACTACAAATCTGGCTGGGGAATTCTGGGAGTTAAAGGTCCATACATCTTAGAGCTGTCAAGATTGAGAAACACTCCTCTAGAGGAAGTCTTCACAGTATTCTCGCACAGCAGCCATTTATAAGATTATGAATGTAACTTACACTCGTTCTGATCAATAGTTTGAAAGCACCCCGTTCATTCTAAATGATGTATAATCTGTCGCAAAGACGACAGATTGCTTTAGTGTTTTTCTCTATTAAGCTTTTATCTTGTTACATTATTGGGAGGCAGATGAAAAAGCGAGACCTGACACCAACCCTTGCCACATACACAGCCCTGTTCAATGCCTGCGCGGAGTCACCCTGGAGAGACAGCGGTCTGCAGAGTGCACTTAAGTTACGACAGCAACTGATACAAAAAGGCGTGGAGTTGAATCCAATTGCATACCGCGCTTTGTTGAAAGTCTGTGCTCTGTGTTCAGATCTCCACATGTGCTTTGATGTACTAAAGGTAAAAAAGGATGGGTTGGTATAAATTTATGACTGTCTAGGTCTGTTTGTAAAGTTGTATCTATCAGCTGCCTTAGAAACCTCATATTGATATTCAAAATAGGACATGAATCTTCCATAATAATAATTTATTAAATTCATATGCCGCCTGACTCCCAGCGACTCTGGGCAATTAGGGCCATAATTAAGCAGTGTCATTATGTTCCACAAATGTCAACAGGAATTTCTGAGGTTGCAGCTGGGAAAATTGTTATGAAATGTATCCCTTGGTATTCACTGTTGTTTCACCTGCCTTGGAATAGCCTGTATAAACAACAGAACAGAAGCTCCTGTTTGTTTGCAAAGAAATGGATGCTGGAATCCTAGAAGACTTTTTCCAGTCTTCACAAGATTTAGACTATGGCAGGATTCACACGTTGCTGTACAGCCATATATCAGGTTTATAAAAGGTAGTGCCTAGTTCACACAACACATTAAGCCAAAACCAGATAAAGTGTATGATGGTTTAGTACAGTAGGTGAAACCAGTCACAGGATGTATTTTGTTGCCTAAGACAGATTGGTTTCTGCAGCTCTCCAGGTGACCTCAGCAAAAGAACACATCCTTAGTTCTTAAAAATGTCGTGGCAAATTTCTAGAGATCTGTTTTCTGGAAATTTTGTATTTGGATTACAGAACAGCTGATCGGTTGTTACATCTTTGCATTGAAAATTAATGATGGAATACTTGCCTTTTCTCAGGAAATGGTGGGAAAGGGCCATCAAATCACCACGGATACTTTCAACGTTCTGCTCATGGGATGCATAAACGACAAGGAGAACGGGTTCCGTTACGCTTTGCAGGTCTGCTTTCTGCTTTTTGCTCCCTTCCCATGGTGGGAACAAACCAAGCTCTTTCTCCCCTTTCATTGGCTGAAGCTATTTCTCTTAAGGTGTCACGTTGTCCTTTTTTTTCCTCTAATGCATTTATCCATTACGTTATTAATCTTGCAAGCACAATCAAAGAGAAAACCCCCTTAATATAAATCTGTACATTGGGATATCTTATAGTTTATTGTTGCGTGAGGTAGAATCATCCAGGAAGGAGATGTTGAAATGGATTGAAAATTCCAGTTTATTATGCAGAAGGGGCTTTGGGGATTCAAGGGGGCTGTCTTTGGAAGGAAACCAAACCAAATACGCTAAATTCTGCAAATAATTTAGTACGCTGTTACTTCAGGATTAGCAGCGTATCATCTGAGCTTCAGTCACTCCATTTGTTACTATTAAGTTCCCAGGTCCAATTCTGAGTGTTGGTTTGGACCTATAAAACCCTACACGGCAGAGAAATGTCTTCTTGATCCAGATTTAGCCTGTCTTGTTTGTCTATCGCTGGAGGTCGGAAGGTCTCCACCCTGCATGAGATGAAGGGAGTGGAGACCCAAGGGTGTGTCTCTGCACTGATGGCAACCTTCCCACCCACACGGACGCTTTGGAACCACTTGCCTCCTGAGATCTGAGGGGTTCCCCCAAGCTGGTTAAGACCACGTTCGGAGGGGCTTTTGGTCCAGGTGGTGGGCCTGTGCTCCCTTTCCCGACTTTATTACGGGGAATTTTGTTTACCGCTTTTTAAATAGGGAGTTGCGTTGGGCTGGTTCTGTCTCATCACCTTTGGAGTGGGCGGCATATATGCGTTTTTTTCTATAAAAGTAAATAAATCTCCCTGTAGTATAAGGATGTTGAGATTGCGGTTACATCTTTTTATTTCCATTTGGGCAGTAACTTTTCTAATTGTCTAGAATGAGTGTGCATCAGTTAATGATCAGTACTGGTTTTTTTGAACCAGGTTTGGCAGCAGATGGCAAAGCTGAACCTAAAACCCGATCAGTACACTTACAATTTGATGCTTACGGCTGCCAAATACTGCGGCCTTGGTGACCCCGGTGTGGCTTCTAAACTGTTACTAGGACCCTCAGAGGAACGCCCAACGATCCTGAGGCTGAATTCTGGCAGGGAGCAAGGAACGAAGGATCGGAGAAGAAAAAGAGGTAATGTTCCGGCTTTAGTGTCGTTGAATGTCGAAGCCCTGGAAAAACGTATGTTCCCAGAAAACGACACAAAAACTGAGAAACATGATGGAAACAGGGATAGTACCAAGGACTGTACAAAGCCAAAGACAAGCGATAGCTCTGATCTATCAGGCTGCGTTACGGACAGGAGTTTGGTGATCTCTGATCAGAACCAGTTGGTTCCGGAGTCAGCAGAAGAAAACTCTTTCTCGGAGCCTACCTTTCCGTTCCCCAACTTGCTGGATCTGCAGAGCCCAGGTCCCAACGTGATTTCATTAGGGACTGTGGCAACACCCGCTGATCGACTAGCTCTGATGGGAAACATGGAAGGTTTCTTAAAGAAAATGAAGGATGACAAGGTGGCAGGAAATATTAGGACGTTCATATTGCTAGCTGAAAATGTAGAGCCCGACAGCCCGTCGGAAGCGTCTTTGTTGACTGTCATGGAGGAAAATAGCGTGAAACCAAACGTAGCTTTTTTCAATACCTTGATCAGAAAAAAGAGCAAGAGGACTGATCTGGAGGGGGCAAAGGTAAGATCATCACCGTATGGGTGGGAGCGCCGCATTAGCCAAATTCAGCTTTGTAAGAACTTTGTAACACTTTTCATTCCTGCTTTATTTTTTAGGCAAACTTTGGGGGCTACGATGATATGCAAGAAACATTAGCTTAATCTGTAGTTATTGCAGCTTTGGGGGAATGTGTACGGCCTTGCTTAATGTCTTTTCATTTTACAGGGCTGGTTGCCTTTAATGTTGAAGAAAGGAGTTTCACCAGATCTGTATACATTTTGTAACTTAGCCATTGCCTGCCGCAGAAAGGAAGATGGAACGCAGTTGCTGTCAGACATGAAGGTACAAAGGAATTTAGCTTCTATAACTTTTGGGGCTGCTGGTAGAGAGCCACGTTGAGGCCTGCAAGAACTAAAACTTTTTATTAACGTTAGTAGATCTAATCTACTTGGCCTTGCTTTTAAGTACTTGTCCTGGCTGCAAGCTAGAGCAGTCAGCTCTTCTGGTCAGCTGCACTTGGTGTGATTTCCCTCCCCTCATTCCTTCTTTTTTAAAAAATGTAAACCATTCCAGGACCGAGATTCAGATAATTTCCTGGAAGGGGAAGGGGAAAACCAGTCACAGGGCTCCAAAGCCTGGGGTAGATAACCCACCTCTGAGGTGTTGCTTTTTTTAACATGCTGTGAATTGAAAATTTTGAGGCAGTAATCTTTTGTGTATAAATGTTTGTCAACTCCTCCCTCTTTGCCTAGATTCCTACAGAGACCGGTACGTCCCTTCTTCACAACTGTCTTTGCCTCAGTTTCAGGACTTTTTATTTATTTGTTTCAGCGATCTGGCATAAAACCCAATGTGCAGATCTACGGCGCACTTATAAACGCAGCCGTGAAGAGACTCCATTACACTTACCTCATAGAGATCCTAAAAGACATGAGCAGGAATCAGGTTGCTCCAAATGAAATTATTATTAACCAGCTGGAGTTTGCAGCCCAGTATCCTCCTAATTTTGATAAGGTAAGATATCCTCTACTTCTTTGTTTGCGTAAACTTGCCTTGAGCTGGTTTAAGCCACGCCTAAAAAGTTAGAAACGTAAACTTTATGTAAAGGGTTTGGAAGGCGTTAAGTTGGCATGAACACTGAAACTAAGTTAAGCATATTTTACTTGGGAAGTGAAATGCCCACTTTAAGCTCCACCTCCAAAGAAAATCCCATTCACGCCTTTATCCATGCAGCTAAGTGATGCTGACTCGATGGCCCATCATCACCAGTTCTAGCACTCTTGCACATGCTCGTTGCACTCGTGCTGTGTCCTGCACCAGACGTGGGCTAGAAGTAGAATGGGTTCTCTGGGGTGACTCGTGCTGGGTCAGCAAAAGTTTCATCTCCCACCTTAGCCCATCCCACTTCGTGGTTGAACAGAAGCAAAGTCTTTCAATTGCTAAATGAGGTTATTGGAATCAAGGAATCTTTGGAGAGAAGCTAGATTTGGGGCCCTGCTCCAATTCTGTATGGTAAAAAGAGATTCCTGGAGGGAGCCTGTGTTCAGAAATGCTGCTTCTCTGCAATTTAGTGCCCCTTTATGAATTATAATGCCACATTTGCACATCTAGGTGGCAGCACTTAGCCAAGCATGGCTAATCTCAAAGAGCTCAGACATGGTTAATAGCCAGATGAGAGACCGCAGAAGATAGCAGAGGAACTACATGGCATTCTCCATGAAATTACTAGGAGTTAAACTTGAATCCCAGGAATCTTTACTTAGACCTCATTCCAGTTGGGGGACTTTGAAAACAAAGTCAGGCCTATAAGCCTGAAACTCTACAGGTAGTCCTCAACTTACGACCACAGTTGGGCTCAGAACTTCCCTTGCTAAGCAGTGAGGTTGTTAAGTGAGTCGTGCCCAATTTTACCACCTTTTTTGCTGCAGTTGTTAAGCAAATCTTGTGATCATTAAGCAAATCTGGCTTCCCCCATTGACTTTGCTTGTCAGAAGCCCCCTGGGAAGGTTGCAAATGGCAATTATGTGACCCTGAGACGCTGCAACTGTCGTAAATATATGCCGGTTGCCAAACACCTGAATTTTGATCACATGACTACAAGGACACTGTAACAGTCATTAAGTGCGAGGGTTGGTCATAAGTCACTTTTTTCAGTGCTGTCATAACTTTGGTCATTAAATGAATGGTCGTAAGTTGAGGACTACCTGTATGTCTTTGTCCAAGAACCTAGACGATATGCCAGAAACAATTGGATGTAGAATAGTGCTTCTAAATTATATTGATTCTGGTGAGAGTTTAACACCAGCTCATGCCATCCTCTCTGTCTTGATACAAGGTATGTTTTTAATAACTCCCATTTGTTTTCTTCTCACAGTACCAGAAAAGGGACCGTTATCTAGAGAAAATTGATGGCTTCCGAGCTTTCTATTTCCGCTGGCTTAAATGGATGCCAGGAGAAGAAACACCACATCCTTGGGCAAATTACAGAAACAAGAAGTTGGCACAAAGCAAAGATAGCACAGGGCTGGAACAAGACCACGATAGCCAGGAGAAAAAATAAAAGAGTTATTGTTGACAGTTCATAATGATGATCAGTTGTGATACTGGCACATTTTTTAAACTGCTAATTCTATGGACATCTGTTCACCTCAAGCTCAAATAGACCCCTAGGTGTATATACAATTGCAGCCCAAACTTATCTGGAACAAAAACAAGATCTAGCAGTATACTTAGCAATATACTGTCCTAATAAATTATGCTTTTCTATTCTTGTTACAGATCTAGCATCATGTTCCCACTCCAAAGGAAATTTAAGTTTATTCTTGTTTTATAGTGATTGAGCAGATCCCTCATCTCTTTCTAAAGCCATTTCTATGACACGTAACTATTAAATGTTATAACTCTTCAAAGGAAAATATTTAGAACCCAAAATTGTGAAGCAGTACAGGTACCACGGAACAACATTTGCTGCCGTGTTTTCCTTGAATATCGACAGAGAAGACTGAACGGACCACATAAACTTCACTGTGTGGTATATACCACAGGTAAATGTTTGGAAATTAAATAAAGTTTGGGTTCAGTAAAGATTCCCAAAGTAAAGGGTATTTTCTATCCTCTCACTATCCAGCAGTAGTCATACAAATGTTCATGGAACTTCAAAGTGACCGTTAGTTTTTTAAGATGGCATACAATACTTTTCAACTCCCTGATTTCTGTATTTGAAATGGGAGTTGTTGAGTCCCATGAATCCTGTAATATTCACTAGTGATCATTATGTATTAGCGACCCCAATATTTCCAAGTCACTGGAGGATAAAGAAGTACTTAATTAACCCTTTATTGGTAGAACTGGTGCATAAAAATAATTACAAAATCACAGAATTATGCTCATCATCATTTGGGAGAAGTAGGCAAGACTTTATTTTAAAATACAATGACTACACAGGACATCAAAACACACTACTGCGTTTACACATTCAGTTATTCTATTTCGGGATGCAAAGGGAATCATCTTACGGCAGGCTTGTTGTGAAAAAATAGTTCTTATGAGCAGTCCTTGATGGTAAACAGTCCCTTAGAACCTCTGAAAAGGGGGTTGCTTTTGAAGAATGCTTCATCCAGAACAGCCTCTACAACCACAGTGAGTACACTCAATTATTCTCCCCTGTTGAACAAAACCAATGTGTGAATTGAAAAGGATCAAACTGTAAGGTAATGCAAGAGGTAGAAAAAAGAGGATTCCCAGGCTGAGAAAACTTGATTTTAGAGCGGGGATATTTTTTATAGGATGAGAATTTCAAAAGCTGTATTTTCACTATTTATGCATGATTGGGCCTCTGAATATGCACAGAAGGGGGGAAGAAAGTCGATACCAAAAGAATTGCTACAACGACTTAAAACAACATTCCTTACCACTTCCAGTTTACTTTTGGGCACCCTACAGATGCAGTTGGTTCCAAAATTGGTATCGCGGGTCTGGATGCAACGTAAGCAGCAGAGGTTTTCATACCCTTGTTTCTTCCACTTTGCAATCAGGTTTTTGTCCGCGTAACCTTCTTTGATACAATATTCGTACAACTCTATACAGGGCAAATATAAATGAAAGGGTTAATATGTCTTTCTGACTGAATGGGCTAGAATCTGGAAAGAGAAAGATGAACGGTAAAGGAGTATTAAATGGCCTTGAAGAAGGAAATGAGAAAGAAACTCAAGATTGCCCCACCTTGATTTTCTTTGGAGGAGATACAGAGAATTTCTGCCAAGCTTTCAAGATTCTGTTATAATATCCCATAACAACAGAGTTCCAGTATTCTTTGTGTGGTCTGTTTCCTGACTTGGCCTACCTCGAAGGGCTGACAACTTTATTTTTCCCGCACGCAACAAAAAGACAAGGTCTATTCACTCAGATCAAATTGCCGACTGTCTTACCTCTACTAATGGCTTTCCTTTTATAGAAGAGATCAAAAATATAGCGTGTTTTCTGATGATGAATTCTGAAGATGGGCCAAAGAGATTCCACTTTCCTTTTCCCTTCATGTGGTTCGGTCTCAGCTGAGGAGGAAAAAGGCACAGAACACTCAAGGCGGTGAACATACCTAATACTCTTTCCTCCTCCTATTTTCCCCACAACAACCACCCTGTGAGGTGAGTTGGGCTGAGAGAGAATGACTGGCCCAGAGTCACCCAGCTGGCTTTCACTCCTGAGGCAGGACTAGAACTCACCGTCTTCTGCTTTCTAGCCTGGTGCCTTCACCACTAGACCAAATTGGCTCTCAAACAAAAAGGGACACATGGACACATTTTTAGTCATCACATTAGAAAAATGGCCTAATTTCAGCAACTAGCTGAACATGAAGCCTATGCACAGATCTGATCTATCACTAACGTGACATCATGGATCTTTCCTATCACTGAAGTCAGAGCATCAAGTGATCTGATGTGAGAAATGTCTCATCAGATCACTTGAGGCACACAGCCTAGCCAGCCTCACTGTGTGTCTCACCTTCTCTCATTTTTTGATCCAGTTCATCTAAGGTTGGTTCAATCAATTCCCAGCCATCTGGAGGAGGTTTTCTGCTCCTCTTCACCTTGGGCATCTCTTCGAAAAGGAAAAAGAATCTGCAGAAGAAACATAGCTGAGATGTATGTATAGTCTGATGTGGGAGAAACCTAATGAAAGGGGTGGCATAAAAATGTCAGTAGGAGACCTAGGACAGTGAGATCCTATACACAGCTATTCAAACTAAACCCTAAGGCAGTGTTTCTTAAACCTTTTTCCCTCAGGACCCCTTCCCACTTAAAAATGATGGAGGACCCCAAAAGAGCTTTTGTTTGTATGGGTTATATTTATCAATATTTACCATATTAAAAATTAATTTCAACGCATTCACTGCCACTATTGCTTCTCACAATTGTTTAATGGGATTTTAATATTGTAATATTTTTCAACATAGGGCTGGCCAATAATTTTGATTTCCTGGACCCCTAAGTGGGTCTTGGGGGATCCCCAGGGGTCCTAGGACCACACTTTGAGAAACACTGCCCTAAGGAAACTGTTCCTTTAAAAACAGTTATTCCAGCAAAAAGAATAATGCCATCCTGTGTGGATCACATCTTGTCGCCTTTTATTTTACCCAATTAGATCAATTATTAACACACACATATCTTTCTAGTTCCCTAGAACAGCCCTCCTCCTGATGTTTTGGAATCATAGCTCCAAATCCCCAGAATTGTTCACAATGGGCTGCAAATTCTTTTTGCGATATTCCCAACACTTGGCTTGGGAAGGCTGGCCAAGAGCAGTGTTTCTTAAAGTGAGGTCCTCCAAGGTCCTCTCAGGGGTCTGGGAAATCAAAATTATTTGCCAGATATTGAAGATATTTGCAAAATTTTAAAACAATGATACTGTATTGTTTTTTTATGTGTTAAAAACATGTTCTTTTCATGAAAAATATTTTATTTATATTAATATCTAATGGATTTAATATTGTTATTTTTACATGATTCAGTAAATAAATACAGGTAGTCCTCATTTAGCAACTGCAATTGGGACCGGCAACTCGGTCGTTAAGCAAAGCGATTGCTAACTGATAATCATGCAATCATGACTGAGCTCAGGATTTTACTTCAGTTTTCCTCTGCTTTTTGCTACTTGCTTCAGCTGAACTGGGGTTCCTTCTCTTTTTCCTTGAGGATCATGAGCTTCTTACTGCAAAATTTAGGCTTAAATTGAAGAATGTAGGGAAAACCACT